CTATTGACAAAGAGCTTCTTAAAAAGCTATACCCACCCTCCTCAGATACCCAAAATATTCTGTCCTGACTATGCACAATGAATTTAGGGGGAAATTCTAAGCAGATTGGTCTGTGGACCAGAAAGACCCAGAGTAGAATAATTGTGTACAGTGTGTCCTGGGTTGTAATTGAGAAGAGAGGCTTGGAAACAATGGGGTTTCCCAGTTTAATGAATGGCAGGTGGAAGAGAATTTTAACCACTCTCTCAAATAAAAGCATAATCAGTAGTCCCCTTTTTCATAGAGAATAGAGGCAAAGGTGATGGGCTTCAATTTTAGAAAGTCTAATAGGTCTGGACAATTGATGTTTATGCAATACCATGACCACCCTTGAAGTGATCTGGTGCTACAGTCCACTATCATTAGAGCACAATTATGGGGACTCATTCCAGACAGAAATTGTAAATAGCTTTATCACATCCTTCCATCTTTCATATGATCAATGACATGTTTATTGATTTTTATTTATTTATTTATTTGGTACATAGGGGATTGAACCCAGGAGGACTTTACCACTGAGCTACATGACCAGAAGGTTTTTTGGGGGAGGGGATTTCAGGTGTGCACCACCACACCTGGCTCTTTGTTGAGTTTTTTTTTTCTTTTGATACGGGGATTGAACCCAGGGGTGCTTAATCACTGAGCCACATCCCAGCCCTTTTTATGTTTTACTTTGAGACAAGTTCTCACTAAGCTGCTTAGGGCCTTGCTTAACTGCTGAGGCTGGCTTTGAACTTGTGATCCTCCTGTCTCAACTTCCCAAATTATTGGGATTACAGGCTTGAGTCACCACGCTGGGCTCTTTGTTGATTTTTTTTTTTTATTCCTTCACTAAACACACTTTAAATTTACAAATGGTTAAAAGAAAGAAAAAAAAAAGCATTTTAAAGGGCCAGTACATAGCACAATGAACTTGCTAAGAAATTCATCTGAATATAGGTGCCTAATGTGCTTGAATGATGGAAGGGTTTAGGGATGCTTCGGAATGATCCATAGTTCAAACTTAGACAGTCTCAACAAAAGCCAAAGAAAATAGTCATAAAAGAGCTAATTTATCCCCATCCCCACCCTACCCCGGTGCTACAGATGGAGCCCAGAAGTCTCTGTCACTGAGCTACATCTCTAACCCTTCTTATTTTTTTTGAGACAGATCCCTGCTAAGTTGCTGAGGCTGGCCTTGAACTTGTGATTCTCCTGCCTCAGTCTCCCAAGTTGCTGGGATTACAGGCATATGACACTGTGCCTGATGAGCTAGAACTCTATCTGAAAAAACACAAATCTGATGTTAATTGAAATTACAAATTGAAATAAAAGTGATACATGGTGGGGGGAGCAAAGGGAGGTCTTTTCCATTTCTTTATATATCTAGGCCAAAAGTAAATAAGCAAAGGGAGAATACTGTAAGAATTCTTGCTTTTGGGAAGGTCTTCTCTACTTTGACCTGAATATATACAGAAATAAGAAGACACAATCTAGCCAAACTCAAGATATCCAGCTATATAAACCAATCTCCTCATTTGACTGGTGAGAGAACTGAMGGCAAATGACTTTGTCAGATGGAGACTGGAACCTAAGGGCTTTTAACTTTTAGTCTCTGGCCTGCTCCATTCTATCACATTGCCATTACTCAAGGAAAAATAGGGACAAACTCCTGAGGAAATAATTCTGCAGAAGCAAAAGGCTGTATGCCCAACATTTTTCATTTCCCTGATGAAGTGGAAAATGGAAGTGTTAAACAGGAAGTGGTTAAGTAAATTATGTTGATTTGACATGATGAAATAATTAATTAAAATAATTGAAAATATTTCAAGGCTATGTAGAAACTCAGAAAATGTTCATGATGTAATGTTAAGTGGAGAGAAGTATGTTTTGAAATTAGAGACAATAGAGTGTTAGTTATACTAACACTGAGTACGAAATCCCAGCTCTGTCCCTTGCTAACTTTGTAGCTCTAGGGAAATCATTCAGCCACTCTGAACCTCAACTGCACTAACTCTGAAATAATACTAGTAGTATCTATCACATAGGATTGTTATGAGGCTAAGTAAAAGAATGAATGTGGTGTGGTGGCACATACCAATAATCTCAATGGCTTGGGAGGCTGAGGTAGGARGACCACAAGCTCAAAGCTGGCCTCAGCAACTTAGTGAGACCCTGTCTCAAAATAAAAAGGACTAGGAATGTGGCTCAGTGGTGAAGCACCCCTGGGTTCAATCCCCAGAACCCTCCTCCCCACCCCACCCCCCAAAAAATATAAGAATGTCTGCTACTGTTTGTTTTAAAATAGATATATACATAGAAATGTTCAATATGAACCACTGTTGTTACAACGATTATGCCATAAATTAACCTAACAAATGTGTTGAGCAAGGACTGGAATGTGATATAACAAAAATGATACTGCAATGGTAAAAGGACAAGATTACAAATATGCATATTTTCTATCTTCTCCAATGTTACACTGTTTTCCAATAAGAAGGAGACATTTTTAGGGGCTGGGGATGTGGCTCAAGCGGTAGCGCGCTCGCCTGGCATGCGTGCAGCCGGGGTTCGATCCTCAGCATCACATACAAACAAAGATGTTGTGTCCGCTGAAAACTAAAAAATAAAATATTAAAATTCTCTCTCTCTCTCTCTAAAAAAAAAAAAAAAAAAAGAAGGAGACATTTTAAATAGAGACCTGGGGGAAAAAAATCCCATACTCCGGAGCAGAGCCTAGAGCTCTTTCCTCCAGGGGCCCAGGTCATCCTGTGTCCACTTCCTAGGGCTGCTGTGGCATCTACAGAGAAGGTGAACAATAGCCTGAATTCCTTGGAAAACAAAAGAGGATAAATTCTAGAATCTAGAAGGTCCCATCTTGAGCAGGTCAGACCCTGAGAGAACTTTGTAGTTACCATTTGAATCAGATTTATTCATTCATGCACACATTCATTCACTCATCCATACACGTTTAGAAGCATTATTGTATGCAAAGAACTGTGCTAGAAGCTTTCAAAGAATTATGATAACCAATAACCCAGCCTGAGTTTGGAACGATCTCCAAACTACTGTGTAAGTGAAAAAAGCAAGCTTCAGAACACTGTGTACAGAATGCTACCATTTGTATTAAAAATAGATATATAAATATACATATTTATAAATTTTAAATGCATAGAATTGCTCTGAAAGGATATACAAGATATCAATAACAGTGATTAACTTTGGAGAGGGGACTGGAGGCTGACCTCCTTTGGGAGTTTACTTTTTATTGTATACCCTTATATTTATTGTTGAATGTCTTACCATGTATATGTATTAATTTTTCAAAACAAACAAAAAATAAAAGAAACAGCCTGGTACTGCATATACAGTGGTGAACAGGACAGAAGTTCCTTAGTCTTGGGGGAGGCAAAATGTGGAACTTGTTGGGCCACAACTAGTATGTTTTAAAATCCAGACTGTTTACATAAGTTGAAAGTTCTTTCTACAACAATTAGCTCATAGTAATTCAGCATATCATTTTACAGAGATAAAGCAGTTGGAGAATAAATACTAGTCATTTGTCAAGCTTCAGAGTGTATTAAATGATAGTTTGTACAGAGCAGGCATCTTATCTGTTTAACTTGATCAGCAGAGCATTCACTGCAGCAGTTAAGTGCCTGTTACAGCAAGCATTCTCTGATGATGACAAATGATAGCACAACCATTAAAAAAAATCATGAAAAAAAGAAGATCAGAAGATACTGGACTCTGAGGGAACCATGTGTACCCTATGAAGGTTAGGCAACATTTTCTAGACAATCCTTAAAAAAAATGATAGTATTCAAATGGCAAAGTGAATCCCCATGAGAATGAATGTTTGTAGACACTGCATGTACTTTAGGACCTCACAAGCAGGTGCGATGCACAGGGTGACAAGGCATAGATGGACTCTGAAGAGAACCCGGCACTTGTGGGGCACCTCAACTCTCTGGGAAGCAGAAAAGTGGACTTCAGGATGTCTGCAAACCACTGATGAGCAGGCAGCCAGCCTAAATAGCTTTGGTCACTAAGGCAGCACAGTGGTTTGACAGGTTTGACTCACTTGTACTGTCACCACAAGTAGCCCAACATGTCCATCATTCAATCTGAGTCTCAGTTTTCTTCTCTGTAAAATGGGGGATAACTGAGATCTTTGTGAGGGTTAAATTAGAGAGTCATCAAAAAGTGTCGAGCAAGATGTTGGGCATGTGAGTGGGGCTTACAACTCTATCATCTCTACTACTAAATAATGGAGTTGTGCCAGGCCAATTCTGAACTAAAGTCAGCATACAGCTGTGAATGGAAGGCATGTGCCACTCTCCAAGCCTTCAAGTATGGATTCCCCTGTTCATATAGCATTATATAAACTAGAAGTATGGGCACATTCATGATCTCATAAAAGCCTGTGAAGGGAGTTGAGTAAGAATTACTAGTTACATTTTGAAGGAGAGAGGCCCATGGTTGAGAGTTGGTTAAGGGCAGAATCTAGGTCATGACCCAGGATTCCCAGTGGGCAGCTCACATTTTTCCACACTAGGAGGAGAGATGGGTCTGGGTCTCTGCCTGTGCTCTAGCTTCCATGTTTCTAAGCAGGAAGGAATTCAGCCATCCACTTCAAACACCTTTATCTGCCTCCTTCCTCCAGAACCTGTTTTCTGCAAATGGACCTAGGGCACAGGGCTAGCTACCTGCAATTGGAATTAGGAAAGGGACAATAGCTAAGCAGGGGCTTGCTCTGGCTTTGCAGGCAGCCAGAAACAGGCCCAACTTGCCCTGACTGCCAGCTTTGAAAGCAGGGACCATGGTGGACTTGCCAGAAAGAGCAATCATTAAAATGGTACAGATGGCCAAAATCTCTCTGAAAATGAGCAAGTGCTAACCTTTCCCACTGCCATTAGCATTTCCATCAAAAATTTGGCATTTGATAGAAGAAAAAAATGTGTTGTTTTTTCAATTGTGGAAAGACATATTTATCTGACTTAATTTATAATTGCCTCCCCTTAAAGATCACCTCTGAGTACTTAGCCAGTACTAGATCCTACTGGGCCTGGGCCCAGGCCACTTGGGTCAGATGACAGAGGACAGCCTACTCCTTGTGCTTGGGCAGGTTCTAAATCCACCACCAGTGAAAGGACAGACCTACCTCCCCAGTCTAATCCCTATTCTGCCACATCCGAGTTCTCTGTGGCAGAAAACAGACCAAGGTCTCGAATGCTGCCAGAGAATTACAGAATTCCTCCTGTTCGTCCCTTTACCAGCAGAAGGTTACACTAGATTGAAAATTACTATGTAAGAAAGATGGAGACGCTCAGAGAAGTTTGATAGGCCTTAAGGCACTAGCCCAGGGGAGACCTGRAAGGTGACTTGACTGGCACTGAGACCTCCCCCTGTTCCTTCAGAAGGTCTCTAGAGAACCAAGAAGTATGGGGTTCCCGGTTTCCTCACCACAAGTGCCAGAATCTAGAGGATCTTCCTCGGACAATAGGAAGCATTATTTTCCCTCAGAGATGGAATAAACAACGGAAGTCTGGGGGATAGACCCTCAGGTGGAGCAGGGAAGGGCCAGGCTCACTTGAAGAGGAATACAAGAGCCTACCTGTATGGTAAGAAGATTTTTTTATTTGAAATATAGTCTGAGCAACATGAGTGTAGCCAAGAGGAGGAGGGCTGGTCTGCCTGGGGCAGCAGCCTCTCTAATGGCACAGGAGCAAGAATACAAATATTCCAATGTCTGTGTGCCCCGAACCCCACTTGTCAAGGAAGGCAGACAGCAGCAGTGCAAAGACCCACCCACAGCTCCTTCTGAAGGAGATCTGGMTCTCGGCACCTGCCTTTGCCATACCTCCTGCTGTCCCTGGTTTCAAACAGGGGTATGCTGAAGTTTCTCCCACCCACAGAGACATGATGAGCCAGTATAACAATTAGTTCTCGAGACTATTTTTGAGGAAAAGATTCAAAGACAGGAAGGAAGGGCAAGGTGACCAAGGRCCCTGGCCAAGCCAGGCTGGGAAGAGCTCTCCTAGAGGGACTGTCAGCACCCCTCATTCTGCTCCTTCTCAGGCTCTGAAGGAAGGAAGGAGAGCTAGTATCTGCAGGCAAATAGAGCTCTGAGGAGTCTCCTGGCTAAAGACAGCAAGCAGGAGCCTCCTAGAAGAGCAGACGCAGAGGGGTTTCRAACTGAGTTGACAGCACTGGAGTTGGGCCACACAGCAGCCTGGGGTTGGAAGGACACAGACAAGAGTTGGGGTACCAAGAAGCAGCACAAAGGCATAAATAACAGAAGCAAATTCAGAGCTGTGAGGGTCCTGGGTGACCCCATATTTCCTGGGGTTAGGGGACACCCAGGACCCACAGCTCAGAGCAGACACTGCTCTAGGGCACAGTGGCCACGCACACACCAGGGCAGAGCCTTTTATTTCCCACAGTCTGCACGGCAGGTGAAGGATACCGTGGCCCACCCTGACCGCACACATTGCAAAGCTTCCAGTCACACCTGAGGGGATAGTGCATGGCTGTCCTGGTCCTGAGAGGCCTGGGGTTGACTCTGAGCATCTTGGGCACTGTCCTCCTCTGGGGCCAGGCCTAATGATCTCCTTGCCCCTGGATCAGCTGACAAAGGCTCACCAGCATATTCTTCTAGTCCATTTTCTCTAGTTTCCATGGCCACCTCCTCCCCAGAGCCCTCCTCCGGCTCTGTTGCCTCCACCTTCACTTCCACTATCTCCTCCTCCTCTTCCTCTTCCTCCTGGTCTCTCACTTTGTGGACAATGAAGAGATGGCGATTGAGAGAGCTGGCAGAGGTATAGCACAAGCCACAGAGAAGACACTGGGCTGTGGAGCTGTCCACCTGGTGCTGAGGTATGTGGCTCTGAAACTCGAGCCCCGAGTCTGTGGCAAAGCTACATTTTGCACACTGAAAAAGAGACTTGTGCCTTTTGTTGGAAGAGACAGTCGTGCCATTGCTGGTGCCTGGAGCATTCCCTGCTGCGCTGACTGGTCTTTTCAGATGGTTCACCTGAAAGGAGAGAGAGCATGAGCAGAATCAAGGCCAAGCCCTTGACATGAGCCCCCAGACATGACCAGGTTAGCCAAAGGCCTCAAAGAAGACACTTCCCGGGCCAGGGTCACCCAGACCTAAACACTGGTTTGGTTCATTTCCAATCTTTGTGTATTTTTTAGTGTAACATACATGTGGCACAAACATTCCAAATATATGAACATTTTAAGGCCCTCCTACCCCATTCCCCAGGCCTGCTCTCCAAAGACATGATAGTACCATTTTATAGCCTCTCCAAGAGATTTTTTTTTTTCCCTGTGATTCTGGGAATTGATCCTGGGGGTGCTTTACCACTGAGCTATACCCCTAGCCCTTTTTTGTTATTTTTAGTTTTTGAGTCTAAACTGCCAAGGCTGGCTTCAAATTTAGGATCCCCTTGCCTCAGCCTTCCCAGTAGCTGGGATTAGAGGTGTGTGCCACTGTGCCTGGGAAAAGTTATCCTATGCACATACAAAAATAAAGCTATTGTCTTTTACAAAATGAATCATGTGCCATGCACACTTCTCTTCACCCTGCAGTTTTTACTTAACAACATATACTGGAGCTTGTCTCCATGAAAGCACACACAGAGGCTTCATTCTTCTAATGGCAGCACACTGACCCATTGTGGGAATGACAGTCCCCACTGGCAAACATTGGTTGAGTTCTATCTTTGTTACTACGCACAGCAGTGCAGTGAACATCCTTGAACACACTTCTTTATGCCCAAGACCAAAGCTTTCTACAGATAAGCCCCAGAAACAGAATTGCTGGATCAGAAAGTATGTGCATTTTGGGGGGAAGGGAGAATGTACATTTTCCTTATGGAAAGAAAATATTGATTGCACCCTACCTACTATGTGTGAAAGGGCCTTTGCCATCAAGCACCACTCTGAATAGACCAAGAAAGTTTTGAGAATGCCTTGGAACTCCAGGCAGCCCTCAGAGTTTCTCAGACATGGCAAGAGTCTGCAGTTAGGAGGGGATATAGGCTGCTCCAAAGTATAGCAAAAATAGGAATAGGGCACAGAATAGAGATGAAGTCAGGGAAAGGGCCTAGATAGCAGGTCTAGACCTGGCTTTTCCCATAACTAGTCAGACAGGGCGTCATGACTCTCACCTGACAGGGCAGCCCTGCCTCACAGGACTGCTATGAAACAGAAGCAAGATGGTGTCTGTGAAAATGCTCCAATGTCCACGGAGCACACACACACTGAAGAACGGGTGGTTACAGTGACAGGGAAACAATAGCAACAGAAGGCTGACAGGCCATGTTGTCCTGTTCTCTACTTTTGTGCATTCCCCATGTAGGTCACAGACTAGAGTGACCCACACTAAGGGAAGTTATCACAAGTTGCTCCATGGCTATGAGTACCAATGGGCTCCCTGTGCTCCTCCTAATGACTCCCAAACCCCAGGCCTAACTGAATAGGCAGCCCACACTCACCTGAGGGGAATGTGCACCTGGAGGTCTGACTTTGGATGTCTGGCTCAAGTCAGGGTTTCTGATGCCATGCATAAGGCTGATGTGGCTCTCTAGGAGTGAGGGCCGAGGAAAGCTGGGGCTGTTCTCAGAGCAGTACCTGCAAGAGCCAGCCAGAGAATTGGGGTAAGACTCCAGGCTGCAAGCTTCCTTGGTGCTCTTCAAATGAACACCAGGAAGAATGAAGCRGGCAGACAGCTGTGTCCTTAGACGGCCTGGTACTAGCACCAGGTGCTCCCAGTGAGATCCAGACAGCAAGCCAGTCAAGGTGGCAGACAATAGCAGGTCAGCCTGCCTGCACACTTGCCACCTGGCCCTCAGCCACCATCTTGCTCCCTGATATCACTGCCCAGAAGCCTCAGTGCTGGGCTAGTGGTCAGAGTGAAAGGACCARGGTACATGCTGAAGCATGGGCAGATGATCACAAGAGTGGGGCAAGAATGCATCACATTACCTCACTCTTTTTAAACCTCAGGGTCCCTCACAACTGGCTATGTTGGCTGGGGCTGAGGAGATGGAGAAAGCTCAGGAGCCACCAGGTCTTGGAAGCTGGTATCTCCCTGACTTCTGAATTAGTGACAGTGTTTTTCATGTTAGAAACTCATTCATCTCCTGCCTCAGACTCCTGATCTCGCAGCAGAGAAAAGCCCTAGAGGGGCCACAGGCAATCCTGAATTTTAGGCCTGTTCCCCTCCACCTCCAGGGACTTACCCACAAGTATAGACCTTCTTTACTGTGTCATGGTTGTTGCGGATGTGTTTGCGCAGGCTGTTAGGGGTGTGGAACGACTGTTCACACTGCCGACACGGGTACCGCTTCAATGTCTAAGGGAAGAGGTGACAAGTCACAAAGCATCAGAACCAGAAGATAGTTCTAGGTGCATCTTTATTCTCACATGATATTGTCAGAAAGGAAGATGCCCCCAAAGACCTCAAGGTCTGTGGCACCAACCTGCCCTAAGTACCAGGAACCCTATGGGGTCAGCCACATAAGGGGGCCTTAACTTCACAGGACAAAAGTCCAGTGACTCTTGCAYTGTACTGTGACCTTGTGGCTGCACTTACCCGACCATGACTCTTTTTCATGTGGGACACATAGCTTTCTCGATCGGGAACCCATTCCTGGCACTCCTGGCAGGTCCAGCCAGTGTTCCTCAGCCGAGGCCTAGCTTCAACCCTGCGATGGGCTTCGGGCCTACCCCAGCGGCCAGAGGGCAGGGAACTGCCCCGTCCAGCCACACTGGTAGCTGGGGACTCAGTGGGAACTCGGGAGCCAGGGCGGCTGGAGGACGTGTCCGCTGAAGAYTGGAGGCTTGATAGCTCGTCCACGTTTCGGGGAACACCGTGGGTGCTCTGGGGATGGGGAGAGCGATTACTGACTGGGCGGGGGAAAGATGCACAGAGTCAGACCCCCGGCCTGAGGTACCCTCCTCCCCAGCCTCCACCCCCAAGGCAGCCCACCTTGACGTGTTGCATCAACTCTGGCTTCTGTAGGAATAGGAGTGGGCACTCAGGGCACTTGAAGACGCCTGCCTGCGCCTTGCTGACATTCTGGTAAAAATGCTGCTGAATGTGCCTCTTCTTGTTGAAGACCATTTCACAGGAGCACTTATAAATGAGCCTGATGAGACAAGCCCCAGGGTATGAGGCAGCCAAGGCTCTGCTGCAGAACCACACAGCCCCTCACCCCTTCTCCGCTCTCTCTGAACCACAGTTAGGTTTGGGAAAGCACTACCCTGAGCCACTGTAGATACTCCCCTGCTTAAGGATGTCTTCAACAGTCTCCAGGTATCTCTGCCTCTAGCCTCAGCTTCCCAGTCCATCCCTAAACCACCCCTTACAGCACCCAGGCCACTCCTCTCTGCCCCACAGAACCCACTGGCCTTGGAGCTGCACTCACTGGGAGGGTCTGTGGGGCTGTGTGGGGTGCTGGGTGGCACTGTGGTCCGCGGTACTGCTGGCAGTCTTGAAGGCCATGGGGCAGAATGCACATTTGTGGAAAACCTGACAGTGTCGCTCCTGGATGTGGCTTTTCAGCAAGGCCAAGGTCAGRTGGACAACACCACAGTGGATACACCTGGATGACAGAGGGGAGGGAATGTTAGACCCAGGGGTGGAGCTGGAAGAGGAGGGTTAGAGGACAGGAAAAGAGCCACCTCACAGAAATTTTCTCTACCTCACTGAGGCACTCAGGCTTCCATCTTCCATACAAACATSCTGAGAGCATGCTTGCTGCAATTAGGCACAGCACAGATACCCATGGCTCCTCAAGCCCAAGATCATGCCTGGTAGAGAAGGAGGGAGAAACCCCACCTCTCCCTCAACTGGCCAGAGAATATGCTTCTGCAGACCATTAACCTGAGCCCACCAAAGAGAAGGTGGGAGTGGCAAGGGAGGAGAATGATTTAGTAGTCACATAAACAGTATTGATTTAAAGTGTGACCCAACTGTAGAAGTCCAGAAGGAGGCTGCAGAAAGCCTTTGCCTTTCCCTGGGCTGGTATTGAGTTAGCAGGGATGCCACCTAATGAAATGTGCAGTCAGGAAATGCTTTGCTCACCTAATAATCAATAGAGTAAAACAAACAATTCTTAGAGATCAGCAGGAGGTACTCCAAAGCAGCATTCTCCAGTGGCATTTACTGTGATAAAGGAAATGTTCTGTGCTGTACTGTCCACATGGTTGTTTAAATTTAAATCAATGAAATCAAATTAAAAGTCTCACTTCTTAGCTGCACTGGCCACATTGCAAGCATTCAATAGCCACGCATGACTGGCACCATTCTGGACAGTGCAGCTCTAAAGTGTCGTGACAACTCCTTGGTATCCAGACTGCAGTTAACTTTTTATTTATTTTTCTCCCTACCAATTTGTATTTTCTGAGTTTTGTTTGGTATATATACATTTTTATTATGTATGAAAAAATAAAATAAGGAATCATCTTAAGTCATTTTTCTAAAATCAAGGCCATGTAAAACACTTCTTCAACCTCAAAACATCTCTCTAGAAATAGTCTTTCTTTTTTTCAGTATTAGAGAAAAGGAGTGTTTCCTCCTATCTGTAAACACACATAGGGGTTTCCCTTCATGAAAGAATACCTTCTCTGCTCCCTGCTGTTTCTTTTTATCTTTCTTTTGTAGCAATGTTGCTAGCCACTCTGACTTTGACTTGCCAGGAGGCATTAGAAGAGAGATTCTTGCTTTACTCAAAGGACCTGCTTTCACTTACTCTTATGTCTAGTGTGGTAGTGCGTACCTGTAATCTCAATCTCAGGAGCTCAGGCAGGAGGATGGCAAGTTCAAGGTCAGTTTCAACAATTTAATGAGACTGCCTCAAAATTAAAAAAGGGTAGGGGGGTGAACGCCTATAATCCCAGTGACTCAAGAGACTGAGGCAGGAGAATGACAAGTTTGAGGCCAGCCTCAGCAATTTAGCAAGACCCTGCCTCAAAATAAAAATAAAAAGAGCTGGGAATGTAGTTTGGCAGTGCAGTGCTCCTGGGTTCAACCCCCAGTACAAGTACCAGAAAAGAAGAAGAATTCTTTGACTCCTGAATGTCAGCCTTTATTATATTAGCCCATTTCCACAATCCACATAATCATCCCAGAATTCTGATAAATTCTTTTTTTTTTTCCTTGTATGGGCAGGGTTTGAGGGGTAAAGGAGAATAGAATCACTTCTGCAAATCTCAGCAATGACGATCAACCTGTAGAACTAGAAAGTTATTTGCATTAAACTATGAAGCCCATTCAGTACTAAAATTGTACATACTTTAAATTACAAAGATTCTATACAAATTATTCATTTATTTCTTTTCTCTCCTGGGAAACAAAATAATGAAATTGAAGGACCTTGGTTCAATCTTCAGAACAAGAAAAAAAGAAAGTGAAACCAACTTCTAGCACACAGAAGTATTTCCACACTGCAAGATATTATGAGGAAAAAAGTCACATGTTCCAAATTCATCCAAAGTGGACAAACCTGATGTGTGTTAAGTGGTTTTATATTGCAGTTTTTGCTAAATTCCTACAGAAACAACTTAAATGTACTTTTCACAAATGCCACAGAGAATTCGTTCTATTTATCCAACAGATGTTCTTTGAGAAACCTCACTAAAGGCAGAACAGAAAGGATAGAGCTGGGGCTGTACTAGGTAGTAGACCACCTGCCTGCTAAAGTGATAAAAGAACATGAAAAGTAGCCTTCATCACAAGCAAAGTAGCCTCTGTGAAGGACTGAATCCAGCAGGGTTTACAAATTGATGAAAAAGCATCCATAAAAGAAATCCAACTTTGTGACACAAACTTTGACCGCATTTTAAAATAGACAACAGCATCATATTTGTGAAATATGAGAAGTTTCAGAAAAAAAGAATGTAAAATATTTAACTTCACTAATGATCACAAATAAGAAAATAATATATTATTAAAATAGTCTGTGGGCTGGGGTTGTGGCTCAGTGGTGGAGTGCTTGCCTAGCATGTGTAAGGCACTGGGTTCAATTCTCAGCACCACATAGAAATAAATAAAAAATAAAGGTCCATTGACAATTWAAAAAATATTAAAAGAAAAAAATTTTAAAAGTCTAATCTTGCTTCTTTATGATATTATTGGCTATTCTTCAAATTATTAACAAAGAGGCTGGGGATATAGTTTAGTTGGTAGAGTGCTTCCCTTGCATGCATAAGGCCCTGGATTCAATCCCCAGCATCACAGGAAAAAAAAAAAAAAAAGAATAAAATATCAACAAAGAACAGAAAAAGTTTTAAAATTTGAATATAATGTATATATATATATACACACACACACATATAAAATATAAATTATGTATATACACATATAGACTTTTTTATATTGTCTTTAAGAAAAAGCAAAAATAGTGTAAACATTAAAAAATATAAAACTCTTTAGTACAGCTCAATAAAATGGAACATAGGTATCTTTTTAAAGTCTACTTTTAAAAAGCATTAACACCAAGAGTGGAKAGAAATACTTGCTAATCATATCTAACAAAGAACTTATATCCAGAATGTATAAAATAAGTCTTACAATTCAATAAGATGACAGGGGATAGGAATGTGGCTCAGTGGGAGAGTGCTTGCCTAGCCTGCAGAGACCCTGGGTTTAAAGCCCAGCACTTTTCTCTTAAAAAAAAAAAAAATCAATAAGATGACAAATAACCTAATTTTTAAAATGGGCAAAGGATCTGACTAGACATGTCTCAAAATAAAATATAAAATGACCAAAAGGTACTTGAAAAGATGCTCATGCCCAATATCATTATCTATTAGGAGAACTGTAAATTTTCATAAGGATAGTTACAACCAAAAGTCAGATAATAATGAGCATTGGTAAGGATACAGAGAGGTCAAAAACTTCATGAATTCCTGATAGGATGTAAAAATGATGCAACCACTTTCAAAAACAATCTGGCATCTCCTCAAAAAGCTAAACATGGCTGGGTATAGTGGTGCACGCATACCTGTAATCCCAGTGACTCAGGAGGCTGAGGCAGGAGGATTGTGAGTTCAAAGTCAGTCTCAGCAATTTAGTGAGGCCCTAAGCAACTTAGTGWCACCCTATCTCAAAATAAAAAATAAAAAGGGCTAGGGATGTAGCTCAGTGGTTAAGTGTCCTTGGGTTCAATCCCTGGGACTAAAAAAAAAAAAAAAATTAAACAAGATTTGACCCAACTATTGCACTCCTAGGTACACACTCAAAAGAAAGGAAAACAGGGCTAGAGATGGAGCACTTGCCTAGTGTGTTCATAACCCTGGATTCAATCAGCATCACAAAAAGAAAAGAAACATGTTCACACAATATGTACATTTATGTTCATAGGCAGAAAATGGAAATAATCCAAGTATCTAACAACTGATGAATGGAAAAAAAAAATGTGTATACCAAGACAACGAAATATCATCCTGCCATGAAAAGGAATGAAATACTGATACATATTACAATATGTGTGAATCTTATAACATTATGCTAAGACCATGTTTACATGAGTTCATTTATATGAAATGTCCAGAATAGGTAAACCTATGAAACAGAGACAGAAAGTAAATTTGTGAAGGGATGGAAATATTAGTGAATGTGGGGTTTCTTTTAGGGGGCTGAAAATGTTCTGAAATTATCTGTGGCAACTGTACAACTCTGTGAATATACTTAAGACCACAGTATTATATACAATACTTTAAATGGGTGAATAGTATGGCATGCAAATTATATAAAAATTACAAGAAAATGAATAGTTGACTTAGTTGTATGTCTTCTGAGTTCAACTACAGATCACTGAAGATTTTAGTGTCACTCTCTTCAGTAATCTCTCTGCTGAATCACAACATTTTTTATCTAACATATTTTTATCTATCATGCCTTACAAAAAAGTCTTCATAACTGAATTACTATTGAGACACGATGTTTTCTTTTACTCTTACAGAAAAAAATAAAATACTTAATTAAAAAACAAAATAAAGTGCTATGAATACATCTGTACAACTGAAGATTTCTTGGATTCAAGATTCAAAGATAGGAGCTGTGAGTGGAGCTCAGCAGTAAAGCATTTGCCTATGCAAGCATGAGGCCCTGGGTTAAATTTCCAGCACTGGAAAAAAAAAATCAAAATACATTGGAGAAAGGATAACTTCTTCAACAAATAGTGCTKGAAAACTGGAAATCCATATGTAGCAAAATGAAATTAAACCGCTATTGYCCACCATGCACAAAACTCAACTCAAAGTGGATCAAGGACCTAGGAATTAGACCAGAGACCCGGCATCTARTAGAAGAAAAAGTAGGCCCAAATCTTCATCATGTCAGATTAGGCCCTGACTTCCTTAATAAGACTCCTAAAGCACAAAAAATAAAATCAAGAATCAATAAATGGTATGGATTCAAACTAAAAAGCTTCTTCTCAGAAAAAGAAATAATCCCTGAGGTGAAGAGAGAGCCTACATATGGGAGCAAAGTTTTACCACACACACATCAGACAGAGCACTAATCTCCAGGACGTATAAAGAACTCAAAAAACTTAATACCAAAACAAACAAACAAACAAAAAAACCCAATCAATAAATGGTCTAAGGAACTGAACAGAAACTTCTCAGAAGACGACATACAGTGGTCAACAAATATATGAAAAAGTGTTCAATATCTTCAGTAATTAGAGAAATGCAAATCAAAATTACTCTTAAGATTTCATCTCACCCCAGTAAGAATGCCAGTTATCAAGAATACAAATAATAGTAAGTGTTGGAGAGGATGTGGGAGAAAAGGTACTTTCATACATTGCTGGTGGGACTGCAAATTGGTAATACCACTTTGGAAAGCAGTGTGGAGATTCCTCAGAAAAGTTAGAATGGAACCACCATTTGACCCAGCTATCCCACTCCTCGGTCTATACTCCAAGGACTTAAGATTAGCATGCTATGGTGCATAACCACACCAATGTTTATAGCAGCTAAATTCACAATAGCTAAACTCTGGAACCAACCTAGATGCCCATCAATAAATGAATGGATAAAGAAACTGTGGTTTATATACAAAATGGAATATTACTCAGCATTAAAAGAGAATAAAATTATGGCATTTGCAGGTAAGTGGTTGGAGTTGGAGAATATTATGCTAATCGAAGTAAGCCMATCCCAAAAAAACTAAAAGGCAGAATGTTTTCTCTAATTAAGTGGATGCTGATCTATAATTGGGGGTGGGGGCATGGGAAGAATGGAGGAACTTTGGATTGGGCAAAGGTGAGGGGTTGAGAGGGTAGGAAAGATGGTGGAATGAGATGGATATCATTACCCTAGGTACATGTATGATTGCACGAATGATGTATCTCTACACGGTGGTATAACCAGATAATTGAAATGTTGCATTCCATTTGTACGATATATTGAAATGCATTCTGCTATCATGTACAACTAAGTAGAACAAGTAAAATTTTTTTAAAAAGATTCAAAGATAAATATTTCAGTATTGATTGCACTGTTAACTTACTGATCCCAATAAGCAGTGTGTGTTCAAGTCATAGTTTGAAAGGTATTTTTAAATGTTACAGAATATTATAAAACACATGCTCTAACCTGAGCATGGTGGTACACACCTATAATCCTAGAAACTCGGAAGGCTGAAGCAGGAAGGCTGAAATAGAAGGATTGAAAGTTCAAGGCCAGCCTGAGCAATTTATCAAGACTCTGTCTCAAAATTTTAAAAAATTTTAAAAAAACATGGCTCAGTGGTAAAGCCACCCTGGGTTCAATCCACCCAGTACCATCAAAAATGTATCCTGGGATGCTGCCAAGTAATGCTCTTACCAGCCCTGGTGGTAAGGCCTCTGTATAACCCCATCTTCAGTTTGTTTTGTTTCTAACACACTTTAGATAATCCAAACTCCATAATCCAAAAAAAAAAAAAAAAAAATCAGCTTACATTTGCAATTGTTTACAAGTCAACAACCAGGGAGTCATCACTAACCCTTCCCCCACCACTCTTTCCCACATAAAAGCTACTATCATTCTAATTCCTAAGTCCCTTTTCTACATCCCCATAGCTATGCCCCCCCAACACACACACCTTTTTTTGAGACAGAGCTTATTGTTGCCCAGGCTGGCCTTGAACTCACCATCCTCTTGCCTCTGTCTCCTGAGTAGTGAGGCTTACAGGATGGGATGTGCCACTGTGTCCAGCACAGCTATCTATGTCTTAGCCAAAGCCCTCAGCATCTCATCTGGACCATTACACTTACTTCTCAGGCAGTTTCCACTCTTTCCCYTGTGTAATTCCTGTGTCAAATTCCCAAAATGATCTCTCTAAAATAGATGAGCCAGATTATACCTCTACTACAAATATCTGTAGCTCCTCACTGTTCACTGGATAAAATCCAAATGTCTGGTAAGGAGCACAGTCTTGCATGTCCTGGTCTCTGCCAATTCCCCAGGATTGTCTCATCACTCCCAGGTCCATCCTGACATCTCTATGCAACTGTTTATCATTCCTGTAACGCTTTTTTTTTTATGTCTGTTGGACTCCCTACCTGTACCCTTGCCAGATATGCTCTTCCCCTTTTTTTGCCTAGAAAACTCCCTAATATCTCCTTTAGAAAACTTCTCTGACCATTCCACTACTATGGGAGCACTGAATTATAATTACCAGATGAAAGCCTGCTTGAGGGCAAGAGCTGTGTCATAATCATCTTTGTATCCTGAGTATCGAGAATAATGCCCAAAACATACGACGTAAATATACACAACAAAAAGTCAAATGAACTAAATAAAAAAATTCTGAAATTGCAAAGAGTAGGAAACTTGACCAAATTTGATCAAAATTATTTTCAAAAGTGAAAATAAAGTAGGAGCTCCTAACTAGGAGACCTAATTGGGTCAATGAAAACATTAAAGATCAATAAATTTTCTCCCCCCATTTTGATCTATTTCCTAAAAACGACTTCTTGCCTATAAATGTTTAACATAGTGGAAGACATTTCAGTCAAAATAAGAATTTTCTTGGTTTTACTATATGGCTGATCATTTTTTTCCATACTCAGGTTTTGTCTGTTTCTCACATATTGACAAAAACTAACTAAAATGAAGACATGAGAGCCCTTTGAGGTTGGTGTCATACAGCCCCATTTGTTAATAGAAACCAGAAACATTTCAAAGTACTATAATTAGTAAACTTTTTATTGAAACAGTGCTTAAAATTTAGTATGGCAAACACAGAAATTTGTGAACAAATTAAATATAAACCTTTTTTAAAAATAGTCTTTTAGTTGTCAATGTATCTTTTTTTTCCCTTAATATGTGGTGCTGAGAATCAAACTCAGTGCCTCACACATGCTAGGCAAGTACTCTACTACTGAGCTACAACCCCAGCCCTGTATATACCTTTTAAAACCAAGGTGACAACATGTTTAACCTCCCCAAAACCTTCCCCTTCAAAGCTTTTTTAAAAATATATTTAATATTTTTTAAAAAATCATTCTTTCCTCTTGTTAATCCTGCCTTCTATAAAATAAAAACATCTGTCCACATATCAACCAATGTTCTTATTCTATTAGGCTTTAAGTCCAAATCTCTCAGTCTCAGAAAAAGGAACAACCATTGGGCAATACCAGGACAGTAATCCAGGAAGCACCCACCTGTAGCCCACCTTACGGGCATAGTGCAGGCAATTCTCCTTTACATGGGTCTGGAAGTAGGCAGAGCGACAGAGGACCCCACACTCTGGACAGCAGTAGGGGGACTTGTGTGCATGAATCCGCTGGTGGGCACAGAAACTGCACTGGTTGGGCAGCAGCATCTGGCACACCTGGCAGGTCTAGGAAAGAACACCAAGAAAGCAGATCATGCAGGTGCTGTAGACCTGTGACTTTCCCATCAGAGCTGACTGGCTCTCCCAAGAGAGCAGTCAGAATAACCTCCTTCCCCAATCATTCTTATTTCCAACTCTTTTAGGACATTGTGACATCTCCAGACCTCCTTACAAGTGCTGCTACTGACACCCAAGCAAGTGTTGTCAGTCACCTTATTAGTCAGTGACAGATCTGGCCCTATTTTCTCTACATACCTCTAAGATAATGTTTCCTTCCTCTAATAGGCAGAACCCAGACAGTCCAGAAGGGGACAGCAACAAACAGAGCTGGGACCTGAATCTTGGAGGGGACTTTTCTATTTTTTTAGTGATTAGGGGATACTTGTACTACTCATTAAGAGGACCACTGACCTGGAGGTAGAGATGCTCAGAGGGACAAATTAATAGGGAAGATGGGAAAAGATCTCTGCTTTAATCAGAAAATTCAGAATGAGGGACTTCTAAAGGACTAACAACCGAGTGTTTTAAAAAATTGCAAGGGGAAAAAAAAAAGGACAGAGAGGAAAGGGGAATTTATAAATTAAACCAATTGCAACATTCAGCCTATATTTGAATCTTGATTCAAACAAGCAAGTATAAAAAGAAAGGAGAAAATTAAAGATATTTAAAAATTAACATTTAAAATATTTCAATTAAAAAGATATTTAAAATTAAGGATAAGAATATTAGGATATTTCACACAATATTAAGGTTTAATTATTATTATTTTATTGTTTTGTCTTTTGGGTGCTAGGTGTTATACCCAGGGCCTTGCACATGATGGACAACTGCTCTATCATTGAGCTACACCCCCAGGCCTATGTAGTGTATTGTCTTTCTTTCTTTCTTTCTTTCTTTCTTTCTTTCTTTTCTTTTCTTTTCTTTTCTTTTTTCCTTTTCTTTCTTTTTTCTTTTTTTTTTTGTGGTGCTGGGGTTTGAACCCAGGGCCTTATGCATGCAAGGCAAGCACTCTACCAACTGAGATATATCCCCAGCCCCCTATGTAGTGTATTTTGAGACAGGGTCTTGCTAAGTTGCCTAGAATGGCCTTGAACTTGCAATATTCCTGACTCAGCCTCCTGAGTAGCTGGGATTATAGGTGTGTATTACTGCTCTTGCAGTTAAGAATAAGAATAATAATAATAACTATTATTATTATTATTATTATTATTATTATTATTATTATTATTGACCTGGGATTGAACTCAGGGGCACTTAATCACTGAGCCACATCCCAGCCCTTTTTGGTATTTTATTTGTTTCCCCCTTTTACATCCCAGCTGTGACGTGAATCATTTTATTCCACCACACACTTTGGCCATGATGTGTTACCACAGGACCAAAGCAGTGGGGCCAATTGGTAATGGACTAAAATCTCCAAACCTATAGGCCAAAATATTTTTTCTCCATAAAATGATCATCTCAGGTATTTTTTATCAAAACATAAATTTGAAGAACACATAGCTACATACTAGAATATTTACAGACACAATAATGTTAACATTTTTTAAAAAATAGCAGGCACATGGCACACACCTGTAATCCTAGCAGCTTGGGAGTCTGAGGCATGAGTATTCCAAGTTCAAAGTCAACCTCAGCAACTTAAGGGAGGACCTAAGCAACTTAGCAAAACTCTGTCTCAAAATAAAACACTAAAAAGGCTGGGGATATGGCTCAGTGGTTAAGCACCCTTGGACTCAAACCCTAGTATCAAGAAAGGACATAGGAGCCAGCTTGAAGGGGATCCGATCAACTGACCAAAGATGGGATGACCTGAGCATCCAAAAAGAATACTGAATGCTGCAGCTCTTTTAGAATTTGCCTAGCAGGATTTCTGGCTATGGCAGGAGGCTCACCCCATGCAATTTGTACTTATCAATAGAGTTGGTTTTCCTGCAAAAAATAATAATAGAATATATAAACATACTGAATATATACCAATGAGTTCATGATGACACTAAAAACAATAGAGACAATTATATCACATTCATTAGGTTAACTAATAAAATTTCAAAAAAATAACGTGAGGGGGCTGGGCTGTAGCTCAGTGGCAGAGCACTTGCCTAGCATGTATGAGGCACTGGGTTCCATCCTTAGCACCACATAAAAATGAAACAAATAAAATAAAGCCATGCTGTCCATATACGACTACAAAAAAAAWTTTTAAATAATGTGAGAATGTAGAAAAACTGGGCCCCTTGTGCACTGTTGATGGGAATGTAAAATGGTACAGTTGCTGTGGAAAATAGTATGGTGGTTCCTTAAAAATTAAACACAATTACCATATGATCCAGTAATACCATTTCTAGGTATATAACTAAAAGAATTGAAAACAAAGTCCCAAAGAGATAATGCTACACCATATTCATATTAGCAGTATTCAGACTAGTTAAAACATGAAAGAGGGCTGGGAGTGTAGCTTAGTGGTAGAGCTCTCACCTCACACATGGGAGGCACTGGGTTTGATCCTCAGCACCACATAAAAATAAAATAAAGGGATTGTGTCCAAATACAACTAATAATATATTTTAAAAATGAAAGAAATCCAAGTACCCATAAATGGATTAATGGATAAACAAAATGCATGAACAAAATGAAATATTATTGAATCTTTTAAAAGAAAGAAATTCTAGGTAGGTTCAATGGTATACACTCTATAATCCTAGCTACCCAGCAGGTTGAGGTGGGAGGATTCCTTGAGTCCAGGAGTTTGGGGCCAGACTGGCCAACATAGTAAGACACCCATCCCCTCTCAACCCACAAAAAAGGAAATTCTGATGCATGCTATATTGATCAAACTTGAGGTCATGGCAAGCAAGATAAGTGACTCACAAGAGTTTCTGAGGATAGTCAAATTCACAGACACAGAAAACAGAATGGTGATTGCCAGGGATTGCAGGTAGAGGAGAAAATGCAAGTTGTTGTCTAATGGACACCAGCTTTCAGTTTTGCAAGACCAAAAGCATTCTAGAGATTGAGTGYACAACAACGTAAATGTACTTAGCTAAATTACATATTTTTTTGGTAAATTTTAACTAGGTACAACAACAAACAGTTAAATAAAAGCTTAAAAACATTAAAGAATAGTCCCTCTGTACTGAAATACTTCCCTAACAAGGTGACTTGTAACACAAGAGGAAGGATGAAAAGACCCCTTCAGTCACCACAGAGGGAGGCAGATTCAGTTCAGGGGCAGACCTCCAAGAAGAAGATGGAGAGCCCAAACATGTTGTCCATTCAGTCCCTGCTCTGGCGTGGAGCCTCACCCCACCCCACCCCATCTGTGCACGGGACACGTGGCCTAAAGCCTGAGTACTGTCACAGGGAGACCCAAGTCCAGCAGCCTCCAAGGCAAGTTTTCGAACCCAGAGCTCCACCCCAAGACTCAGAAGCTCCATTTAGTGATAGGAAATTTTATAAAAGATTGGAGCTAGGCTGAGAGAAGCCTGACAGCCTTCCTGGGCCTGCCCTCCCTTCCTGTCTGGGGGGTGTGCTTGTGGGGCTCCCACAAAGGGGAGAATAACAAAGAGAACTATAGGAAAAGAAGAGYGCCAGCCTGGGGTCCTACACTCTGATCCTTGTGTACGCAGATTGTAGAAGATGGATGAGAAGCAGTATGAAAAACCCACAGGCCCCTAGGTCCACTGCCAAAGGTGCTCAATCACATGACTTGTAGAAAGGACCTGAGTAAACTCAAGCATGCTGGACAGCAAGAACACTGAATCCCCTGGGGAAGCGGCCAGGTGACCACACTCCATTTGACTTATCAGAAGGAAAATGAGACAGAGAGAAGGCAATGATGAAAGGCCACAAAGTGACCCCATATGGTACCCCCTAACTCCTTTAGGGCCAAGTTCTCTACAGAACCCCTGCAGACCTACCCCGCTTGCCCTCCTGCCTCTGCCCCCACACTGATGGTCAGTCTCATAYCCAACAACTCCCTGCCCCTCAAACCCACTCTGCACTTGTTCCCCATAMCCAGAGTACCCTATCTCTCCCTCCTCCAAACTCAACCTTGCAGGTCAGGAAGAGACCAAGGGCATGTCTGGAGGCCACCTTCCTGAAGGGACCTGCTTCAGAAGGTGCCAAAGGGTATATGTTTATGACATATACATGGGTATATGATAGCCTTTAAAAAAAAAAAAAAAAACAAGCCTCATCAAGTATAACCAAGAATGAGAACAAGCAGACAAGCTCAACTACTTCCCTGAAGTGATGAGAACATGGATGAAAGAARGGGCCCCCAAAGCCTCTGCCATGGGCCCACATACCTCCTTTCTTTCACCTCAGCCCTACTGATGGTCCTACTTAAGTATCCCCAAAAGGACTCTGCAAAACAGCTGTGTCCACTGCAGGGCAGAACAAAATGTAAAGGCAGGTCTTAGAGGAACAGAGTTARGCAGGGGCAGTGACTCACCTACCTCTGTCCCTAGGTTCTCTGGGCACATGTAAGACTGGGCTGGTACCTTCCAGAAACCAGAAAAAGATCATCCAGCATTGAAAGGTCCTACAGTGGACCTGAGAGCCCACTGGAGTGGGAGTTGAGTAGGACATGGGGCACGTCCATAAACACATTTGCTAAATCTTCATGGTCTCCTTTAGTTATGGGTAGGACATCTTTCCCACTAAACACAAAGCATTATTTATTCAGGTGGGCCACTAACCATTAAGCCAGATGTCCTCTTCTAAGACATCTGCTCCTGCATCAATGAGYTTTCCTCTCCATGCTCAATCAGAACCCATGTAAGCCAGGGGCCTGACACACATCACAGTGCAGGTCTGTGCTTACCAGCCCCTCGGTTTCCTCTGTTGTCCTCTGGAAATGTGCAGCCAGGACCATGTAGTCCCTCATCTGCTTGTGACATTCAGGACATTTGGTTCCATACCGGATGAGCCTCACAGGGTCTGGGTAAAGAGGAAAGGCTGGAGGTGGGGGGCTGGGGCTGGTACTGCCCAAAGTGGGGCCATGTTTGGGGGAGGAGGAAGGGGCTGGGGTTGCTGGTGCCGTGGAGTTTGCAGGAGCCGACACGAACATCTGGTCCGCAGAGATGGGTTTCACAAGCAGCTGAGAACACTGCATGACGAGCCCCTTGCTCTTGTGGTCACGGGCATGACGGAGCAGGCTGCACTTGTTGAAGAAGAGCAGTGTCTTGGAGCACAGTGTGCACAGCACCTCAATGTGGACACTCCGCCGGCCATAGTGCTGGCTTAGACTCTTCTCTAAGGCAAATGCATCTCCACACTCCAGGCAGCAGTACCCACTGGCCGGCACGTGGATCCTGCTGTCTGCAGGTGGGCTGAGATTTGGCGCGTAGAGGGGCACAGGGTTGGAACTGTGGAGGACCTTATTGAAGACCTCCACAATCAGAGGGGCAGCCTTTTTCACCTGGTGGACCAGGGGCACCGACATTTGTGTAAGCTGAGGCTGGTTCCGTCTCTGGGCTGAGGACTTGGCCGTCACAGATGCAGCAACACTGTGGGGGACCAGGTTCAGGTTGGCCAGGTGCACGGCTTTGGGCAGAAGATTGGCAGGGGCCAGGGTTGATGCCTGCAGTGCTGTGCTCTGTTGCTTCCTGCCCACCTGTGAGCTGGAGGCAGCCCCCTTTGGGACCCGGGGCCCAGAGCTACAGCAGGGAGATGTAGAGTCAACAGCCTTTGTCATGCTTTCATCTTCTTTCTTGTCACTCTGGGGACTCCCTGAATTTATGCCTACCTCAGGAAAGTGCTCCTCTACAGGCACAGCTGTACCCTCATCCCCTGGCACCTCGCTTGGGGCCTCAGCAATGGCACTCCCTACAGGTGACCCGATAGGGGACTTATTTGGATCATCAGGGTCTGGCAAAATCCTGGTAACTGTCCGTTTGATCTCCCCTGATGATGTTTTAATGGTTTTGATTCTAACTTTGGGAATTGCTGGTGGGGAGCTGGCAGCCACTGAAGGGGAGCCTTTGCTACTGCTGTCACTGCAAATGCTCCGAGGGCTGTCTGATGGCTTGATACTTTTTCTAGTGGCCTCCAGAGGGCTCCGGGGACTCTTTGGTGACTTGGGCATTTTGGGGCTGCCTTTAGAACCCTCTTTAGTGGGCCCAGAGGGATCCTTTGTGTGGCCAGACTGATCCTCCTTGGTAACACTAGCCACCCTTTTTGCTTGCAGGGCCACCAAGGCTGCAACACAAGAGGACAATTTGGAATGAGCGGGCTTAAGACGCTGCCTAGGGGGGACTGATGAGCGGGTACCAAGATCTGGGACAAGTTTCTTAGGCTCTCCGATACTGTTGCTAGGGTGACTATTGAAACCCAGAGCTTCTCCAAAGAATCGACTGGAATCCAGCTCCTCGTGAGGCTCCACCTTCGGCCCAACTCGCTCGCGCTCCTCGTGGCTCTCTAGAGACAGGGGTTCTGGCTTCGGTTCTTTCTTACAAAAGTGATCAAACATGTGCAGCTCTGGGACTGGAAACTTGGCCAAAGCTTCCAGGACTGGACCCCCCACAGCCCCGCACCCAGGAGTGGGTGGGAAATAACTGTCAGAATGTTTAGGCTTTATCCCAAACCCATTATCTTTGATGGGATCCTCAGGTTCTGGGCTGGAAATTGGACTGAACTGGTTGAAGGTGGGTAATGGCTCTGACTTAGGMGGCTCCAGCTTCCCAGGGAAACTCCGAGAACTGTCTCCATTCATGAAAGTAGCATCAAATTTTCCACAGTTGTGGGGGTCTGGAGGCAGGTCTGAGCCCCGGAATCCATTGTGGAGGAGGCTGGGAGCAATGTGGTCTTTCTCTGCTTCAAATGACTCCTGGCGGCTGGTGTTCTTGACAATGACACTCACGACCGGCACATCTGGAGCTGATCCTGAGTGAGACAAGGACACACTCTCATCTATACACATGCCTGATGGCTTGAGGGGACTCTCATTCTCCTCACTGGGAGCCTGGATGGCCTCCTTGGCATCAAGGCTGGTAGGGTCTGGGATGTCGAAGGCAGCCAGAAGGTCATCAAAATCTGGGGTTTTCATATCCCCCATGGCTGGATGCTGGCAAGGGCTATGACAGAAACAGAGAACAGAGTCAGTGAACACCAGGGCCTCACTGGACTGTCCTGCATCATCTTCACTGGACACCTGTCACACTAACACACACAAACAGCTGGAATTCCAAAGCAGAATCCCATGTTCTGTGATAGAAAGTCACAAATCTGAGACGAAATTCTAGAAGGGAGCAGAGGGGTTAAAAGARTTTATATGTAATGACAAGCCTATCTGGAAGACCTTAAACCTCAATACCTAGAAATTAACTGGCTAGTTGCATGGCCAAAAAAGAAGGTAGACTCCTACCACATTCCTAACACCATGGTCATGTACACTAGCCAAAAGCCAAACGCTCAGCCCCTCCCCCCTTTTAAAAGCATTGTTCAACACTTCCTTCCTTGAGAAAACTTCTGATTCATATATGAGATTTGACCTTGTACGCCTCCTTGGTAGTTTCTTCTCTATTCAGCAAATGTGCTTGATCCCTTATTTTCGTTTATTTGGTTGGTTGGTGGTTGTTTTGTTTTTGTGGTACTGAGGATTTTACTATTGAGCTACACCCCCTGTTCTTTCTATTATTTTTGATTTCAAGACAGGGTCTTGATAAGTTGCTGAGGCTGGCCTTGATCTTATGATCCTCCTGCATCAGCCTTCCAAATCATTGGGATTTCAGATGTGTGCCATCATACTTGGCTGATTCCTTAATTTTTTTTTTTTACCCTAAAATTGTTATTGGTTGAATGGAGCATTAAGCCTGAGAAACAGAGTGACTCAAGGCACCACATAGTTATCAAACTGAGCAGGTGACTGTTTTGGGGAAGACTAAATTCTATTTTAACTTAATATACAAAAAACAGAATAACAATTCTAGTTTGACTTAATACACCTGTTTCCTTCTTAGTCTAGGAAAATAGAACTACAGAAACATTGTGACAAAAGAAACCAAGGCCCTAAGAAGAGGCCTTCCAGCAAGGCTGATGCTGTAMGTTTATAATCCCAACAAATTAGGAGTCTGAGGTAGGAGGATCACAAATTCAAGGCCAGCCTCAGTAACTTAGTGAAATCTTGTCTCAAAATCAAAAATTAAAAAAGACTGAGGATGTAACTCAGTGTTGGACAATCCCTGAGTTCAGTTGCCAATACCAAAATAAACAAACAACAACAAAAACCCCACAAGAGTCCTTCCATATGAGAAGTTACTGTAATGCTCACACTTAGATGAAAGATGAAACTGGCTGGCTCAAACCTGCTGGAGAAAAGAAGAAAACCATCATCTCCCTTATTCAGCCCTTAAATCTTAATTTCTGTTTCAACATCCTAAGGCTTTTCTGACTCACATATTTCTTACACTGTGTTGATGCTAAAAACCATTGTGGAAGCAGATGGACACAACACTGTGACAAAGCAGCATGGTCACTACACAGTACCAGGAAAGTGGCAAAGTCTTAAGTCCAGGAATCCCACTTCCAGAAATTTATCCTAAGAACAAAAATTCCCAAAGGCTATACACAAAATTATGCTAAAACAGCACAAAAAAGCCTGGTGTGGCAGCATGTACTTAAAGTTACAGAACTCAGGAAGCTCAGGCAGGAGGATCAATTGGGTTCAGGAATTTGAGACCAGCCTGGGCAATAGTGAGACCCTGTCTTGCCTAGCACGCACAAAGCCGTGGGTTCAATCCCCAGCACCAAAATAAATAAGTAAGAAATAAATAAATAAATAATACAATATATATATATATATATATATATATATATATATGATAGATTATATATGTAGACAATGATAACAATGTAAACTAAATATTTATTTAAGCCATGATTAAAAGAAAAATGCAGGGTTGTAAGATTACTGCTAGGTTATTTTTTCAAAACTTTTTTGGGGGCTAATAGACTGCTTTATAATTCCCACCACCCTATTGGTGGCACTGAGGATTGAACCCAGGGGTATTCTACCACTGAGCTACATCCCCAGCCCTTTTGTTAAACAAATGTATTTTGAGAAGTCTGGCCTCAAACTTGTGATCCTCCTGCCCCAACCTCCCAAGTACCTGGGATTATAGGCGCATACCACCATATCCAACTACTTTTACAATTTCTAAAAGGGAAAATAAAGAACACTTAGACCACAAGAAGAGCAGGTGGCATGGCAGAATATATCTCTTACCTCCCYATGGGACGATCAGGTTTGCAGATTTGGTTTCTACCCCACCCCCAAAAAACACATTTGCCGATAAATGTTCCCACAGAAAATGAAATATAGATCCCTCCCCACTGGGAAGACACTTAATTAGGGTAGGTAATCATAAAATGAAATACCAATTATCTAAACACGAGTTGGCAGGACATCTGACTAAAATGAATTTTTGTTGTTTTGCAGGGCTGAGAATGGAACCCAGGGCTTCCCACATGCTTGGCAAACACTTCACCATTGAGCCACACTCCCAGCCCTGAGATACATTTTATAATAGAACAAACAATTACCTCCTAGAGTCCATAAACAAAGGGAAAATACTGAATATCACTGAAAGCACTGACATCCCAATGCCAAGTGACTATTATACAGGGTGATCATAACTACGAAGAGACACCTCTTGGTATTTATGCTCTTATTCCTTTCTCCTCTCCACACCCTTCCTCATCTCTCTCTCTCTCTCTCTCCTCTCTCCTCTCTCCTCTCTCTCTCCTGAAGGGCAGAATAGATTGGTCCTTCAAAGAGACGGTAAGAGCATGTGAGAGAGGATGGGGAATAGTTGGTGGAGTGAGAAGGATTAGCTGGGAGCCAGTTGTCATCTAACAGAAAGTTTCAGGGGCTTGATGCAGAGAGATATTACATCGGAAGAATGTGATGTACTCCTCTCAGAGACATTCAGGGATAGCTGAAAACAGTCAGAGGTTAAAGTATCTTTTACTAGAAAATCAGAGCTAGTAAATGGTATGGCAGCTCAATATCAGCGACAGGAAAAACCTCCATAAGGATTTTAAATACCAAAGCTGATGTCTTTAAAAGCCAAAGACCACATCCTGTTTTCTATTTAGCTTTGGTAAGGAACACCATAACAGCAGCAATTAGTAACAGTGACTAAGAGACTCACCATACCTAAAAGTTCATATTTCTTTGAACCTTGCTCTAAAGTGAGCATCACATTGTTTATAAGTAGAAAATAGAAATTAAAGAAAATGTATTCGGTTATAAAAGCAAAGAAGAGGGCTGGGGTATAGCTCAGTTGGTAGAGTGCTTGCCTTGCAAGCACAAGGCCCTGAGTTCGATCCCCAGCACACACACAAAAAAAAAGCAAAGAAGAAACTGTAAAGAAAAAGACAACCAATGCCATGCACGGTAGCACACACATGTAATCCCAGCAATTTGGGAAGCTGAGGTAGGAGGATTGCAAGTTTGAGGTCAGCCTGAGCAAATTAGCAAGACACAAAATAAAAATACACACATCTGAGATGTAGCTAGGTGGTAGAACACCCCTCAGTTCAATCCTCAAATCTTCAGTATCAGGGAAAAAAAAGAAAGAAAGAAAAGAAAAGAAACAGGGCCTGGGGCTGGAGCTCAGTGGTAGGGTACCTGCCRTGCACATGTGAGGCCCTGGGTTTGATCCTCAGCACCACATAAAAATAAAGATATTGTGTCCATCTACAACTAAAAAAATGCTAAAAAAATAAAAGAAACAGTCACAATCACTAATATCTTAATATGTTAAAAAAACTTACAAAGCAATAAGTACAAAATAAGCAACTCAGTTAAGGTGATGAGCAGGCTATTTTTAAATGAAACACAAGTGGACAAATAATATATATTTTTATAAAAGTTACAACCTCATAATAAATTGGAGAAACACAAACTAAAATAATAAGAAACTACTTTTGGCTTATAAAATTGACCAGTTTTTTTTTAATTGAACAGTATTTTAAAAAGTTGGCAGAGATTTGGCAAAATAAGAAGTATAGGGGCTAGGATTGTGGCTCGACAGGAGAGCACATACGAGACGCTGGGTTCRATCCTCAGCACCACATAAAAATAAATAAAATAAAGGTATTGTATCCAACTACAACTAAAAAAATATTTTTAAAAAATAAGAAGTATAAAAATTGTAAGTAGTATAAATTAATATAACTTGTCTAAAGGACAATTTAATAGTGGACACAGAAAGTCCAATAATTCTACTTCCAGAAATATATCCTAAGGAAATACAGATGCTTATGACAAAGACAATTACAGAATTTATAACAAAAAATGACACACAACCTAAAAATCCAATAATAAGAATATAAGAATACATTCAAGAAATTACAGTACTATTTATAATTATATGTAAATATATTAACATCAATACAATTAAATACTAGGCATCAGTATTGATAACATTACAGATAAATATTTAAGGCTATGGACTGCTCTTGGGCCAGACACAGAGGCATACACCCTAAATCCCAGCAATCTAGGAGGCTGAAGCAGAAGGATCACAAGTTCAAAGCCAGCCCCAACAAYTTAGCAAGGCCCTAAGCAGTTTAGCTAGACCCTGTCCCAAAAATAAAAAATAAAAAAGGGCTGGGGTTGTGGCTCAGTGGTTAAGCACCCTGGGTTCAATACCCAGTACAAATCATCATCATAATAATAATAATAACAACAAAAACAACAACAATGCTCCTGATATAAAATGAGAAAAATGATACTGCAGCATATAACATTTACTTAAAACAAAAATTTTAAAGTATACATTTTGTAAAAAAGGCARTAATACTCCCAAAGGTATCTCCAGATGATGAAACTATTTTCTTTCATTTATCTTCATTTTCAACTTATTCAAATTTATTTCAGATTCTATTACTTATAAAATTTTATTAGTTTATTTTTTAATGTACAAAAAGAAGAGGAAAATAGGCAGGCCAAAAAATTTGAAAAGGTCCTATACAAGACTCTAAACTATATATTTTTTTAATTCTTTCTCTTAATTTTATACTTTACTATATTTTTTTTAAATAAAAAATTCTTAAAACACATTTGGGG